TCTCACATTAGGAATAGAAATTTTGGGCTTAAAGTGAGATGTGAAGTTAACTTAATGGTTATTTTAACTTTTAGGTTACAAAATGAGCCAACAATAATTATTAAATTTCTTCTACTTTGTGTCCACTCTCTCTTCAGCAACCTCTTGTTAACTTGATAATTTAATTATAATATCACTTTAAATTATTATGGCAGTTATATATGTTGTGTTTTAATTTTTTTCCAACAGTGTAGTTACGAAGGTTGTACTTTCAAAGCTGGAAGGAAGGTTCTCAAACTGCACTGGATACAGGTTATAACCCATGCAAATTATTTGTTCCTCATAATTTTACAGTAGCATATTTGTACTGCTACAAAATATTGTTACTTGAAACTACATATTATTAGTACTTTTATGTTAATGTCAGTTGGTAGCTGTGTACTGACACTTGCCTGAATAAACAACTATTTATTAACCATAGATATCTAGAACAATATCCATATTTTGTAGAGGTACAGTGGTCTTATGGTTAGTGTTTTTTCACCTCTGGATCGAGCAGTCCAGGTTTGAGCCCTGGCTGGAGACATTATGTTGTTCTCTTGGGCAAGACACTTTATTCTCACAGTGCCTTTCTTTCTAAGTGGATACTAACAGGTCTAATGGGAGTTTTCCATGCTATTTCCAGACTCATGAAACAGGCAGGATGAAGATCAAGCTTGATACAGATGAAGAAATAGCAAAGTGGAGAGAAGAACGAAAAAGGTAACTTGTTGTTATTTGCATTTTTAAGGGTTGTAGGCCATGTTGCTTTTTTATGAATACCTGAGGAGTGGCTCACTATCTTCCAGTAAAGGGTTTGTCCCCTGCCCCTNCCCCCCCACCTGCCCCCTCCAAACCCTGTTTAGCAGACAGTGATTTAGAGACAACTGACAGCTCATCTGATTTACTCTGCTAGAAAATAGTATTTTTCAAGTTGTAACCACTGGGTGAATTTCATTCCTTCCTTCACTTTGTGTTGGACCTTTTTTTGTGAATCCGCTGACCAATGTATGAGGTTTTCACACTCGTACGGGGATTCATTTCAAGTTACTCGATGTGGACATGGCTGCCCTATATGCTGTCCTACATGCCAGCAGGCATAAGGGCAGTAAGAAAGTAATGAGGAAGTCAAATGATTTCGATTCGTCACTGTCTGACCAGTGCTAATTTGTCACTATTATTTGTTGCCATCTGATAACAAAAGGAAGTATCCAACTGTTGCTAATGTGGAAAGAAAGATGGCAGAAGAAGCTAAGAGGAAAGCATCTGGCCATGTTTTGAAGACCAAGAATTTCAGGTAGTGAGATGTGCAATGTAGATGCGAACATAGACAAACCATGATCAACTACCGTAAACTTCAGTGTTTATTCTGCTTGTACATGAGGTGCCTTGAGAAAACTTGACTTCTGTAAGAACATTACACAGATGGGCCTTGATAAAAGTTAAGTAGAACTTAAGTAGAACTTAAGTAGTGAACTCAGGTTTGGGGTGGCCCTCATGGTCTACGTTCGAATAAAGGGGCCACTCATGCGCACACTCAAGACTAAAATAATAAATAACCTGTGCAGGGTACTCAGCTGGGTCACACGAAGCCCAGCAGTAACATACAATGCTATACTAAAACTGATGCTTGATAGAGGTCTTTGGTACTTGTACTAATAAGGCACTAAACTATCACATCCTGGCATGTACTATCAAGAATCTGGTTTGCATCATTTTACTTTCATTGTTAATTAGTTTTAGAGCAGTAGGTCTGGGCATTGTCGACTTGCTTTTATCTATCAAGAACTTAATTAGACCTGCAAGTCTGATGCTTTTTGCTTTTGCTGACAATGTTCACTTCAGCATTTCATCTATTTACACCGTTACTTAGGGAAATTTTGTACTTGTTTTCAAAGATACCGCAGAGGCCAGCGAGGTGGCAGAACTTTTCAANAAAGAAAGATGGCAGAAGAAGCTAAGAGGAAAGCATCTGGCCATGTTTTGAAGACCAAGAATTTCAGGTAATGAGATGTATAATGTAGATGTGAACGTAGACAAACCATGATCAACTACCGTAAACTTCTGTCAGTGTTTATTCTGCTTGTACCTGACGTGCCTTGAGAAAATTTGACATCTGTAAGAACATTACACAGATGGGCCTTGATAAAAGTTAAGTAGAACTTAAGTAGAACTTAAGTAGTGAACTCAGGTTTGGGGTGGTCCTCATGGTCTACGTTCGAATAAAGAGGCCACCCATGCACATACTCAAGACTAAAATAGTGACCTGTGCAGGGTGCTCAGCTGGGTAATGCAAAGCCCAGTAGTAACATACAATGCTATACTAAAACTGATGCTTGATAGGGGTCTGTGGTACTTGTACTAATAAGGCACTAAACTATCTCACCCTAGCATGTACTAATCAAGAATCTGGTTTGCATCATTTTACTTTCATTGTTAATTAGTTTTAGAGCAATAGGTCTGGGCATTGTCGACTTGCTTTTATCTATCAAGAACTTAATTAGACCTGCAAGTCTGATGCTTTTTGCTTTTGCTGACAATGTTCACTTCAGCATTTCATCTATTTACACCGTTACTTAGGGAAATTTTGTACTTGTTTTCAAAGATACCGCAGAGGCCAGCGAGGTGGCAGAACTTTTCAAAGAGGTGGCAACAAACACTTCAGCAATAGAGTTCAAACAAGGAATGATACTGAGAGTTCAAATACCATGGACACAGCAAAAAATCTTACTAAAGAACAGAGCCATGATGGAGACAATGAAAGCAAATCAGAAGATCCTACAACACTGGAAAATGGGGCAGATCCTCTTTCATTGGTACTTGATGGTTCTTATAAAGAAGAGGATGATGCAGGTATGTCCTGTATCTGATAGAACATGAAGGTGTTTCTTTCTGAAAACTTCTGCCAATTAACTGAGAGTCTTATCACAGTTGACCTTCTCTTATATTTAGTGGAAGTACTTTGGACTAGAAAATGTGTCCTCTAAAGAGTGGTTCTTTAATGATCACCATGATTGCTGCAAAAAATTCAGCAATCATCATCAGTGATAATATGGAAACCTCTCTCCAGGGATAGAAATGATCACTGTAATAATAGACCTTTTTACCAATGTCACACAAAATCAACAATTTCTTGTAATAATTTTTCAAATAAACAAAAAAACACCTTGGTCCATAGTTCAATTTACCATGATGCTGAATTTAGTAAAGTTTCATAACAATCCATGCATTGCAAACTCAGAAAAATATGGGACCCCAAACTTACAAAGAAATCATTGCCCCCTTGGCATACACTTCTTTGTAAAAATTAGCAAGTTGGGGTCCCATGTTTTTATGAGTTGGCAACAGATTCTAATGAAAGTAAGCATATTTACTAAATTTGGCACAATAAATCAAGAGGTGAGGTTTATTTTTTGTTTGAGCGAGAAGATCGGAAAACAGGGATCGAAAAAAACTTGAATTTCAGCTTGCCCTTGGGACAAGAAGCTCTCAAATTTTGCCTGCCCTGGACAACTCCTAGCTTTCTCTTTTAATGATTTAGTTGGCAGACGACACTCCTGATCCCTTGTCCACTGGGTAAGTAAGAATGAAAAGTTACATGTACTTGCTCAGGAGGAAAATTACTTGTCCTTGATGATGGGGTGGCACTTTTTTCTAGCCCTGGGAAATGCATGACATCGATAAANAGTTTTTTTGTTGCTTTGTTCCTGAATGAATTATTGTTTTTAAATGTACCACATGATCATTTTTTCTTGTTTGTAAGGTTTATAAACTATCTATTTTTGTGATTCCAGGGAGTGAAATTAAAGAGAGGTTACCTGCCCCAAAGATATTACCCAGCCCAACATCAGAAGCAGTTCCTTCCACTGCAATGTCTGGATTCTCTGGATTAGGTTCACTCTGTTCAGCATATGCTAGCGAATCTGAGGATGACCAAGCACCAGCAGGTATATTCAAATATGATCTACTTAAGGGTTAAAATTCTAATTTATTTTTTCCAATCCAATGGAAGGTCTCTCTCTTGCCTTCTTTTGTCCATGCCATTGGCCAAATTTATACCAGAGGTGAATTATCCATCATATATAGATGAATATTATTCTTTGTCTGAAATGGATAATTTGTCTTTCAGTGGGAAGACAAATTATAGAGCAAAATTTCTCTGTGGCTGATACATCTGTCAGCATGCCTTCAAGATGAATAATTTGTCTAAGATGGATAATTCATCTCTAAACGGAAAGCGATTTTCCAAGAATGAAATGAAAGGTGTGTCAATTAACTCAAAGTCTTTCCTTGAGCTGTGATTCCAACAAGTTTTGAAGTCTGTCCTCCCACCATTTCTTGCTTCTGATCTCATCTCTACTTATTGTTTTCCTATCTTGGGCAAGATTAGCTATGGAAAATGGCAATATGAAGTTTTTTAAGTTAAAATAAATGTTCAACCAACAGAAATTAACAACAACAAACACAAAGATTGTTCCCTGAAGGAGAAACTCGACAAAAATTCGACAAATGAGCCTGAAGTTGGAAAAGCTGAGAGCAGTACACCTCATTCACGACATGACGTGAAACAAGGTGCACACGGCAGAACAAAGAGAACACGCAGGAGATCAAAGAAATGTATCACAAAGGTGAATGAAATTTCATTTTGTTATCAAGTCTTTGCGTTGTCAATGTTAACTTAAATATGATCTTGGTGATAGTCCAAGTTAAAGGGGAAACCAGTTGTTTTACCTGACAGCCAGTTCGCCCGAACTTTTAGTCTGTTTGCCCAGACTGAAAGTTCAAAGAAGGATGTGTTAAATCTTTTTTCAACAAAATGAATGAAAAAGACAACATTGTGGGTGTTATGAAACAAAACTACACAAAACATGTTTGTTTCTCATTCTTTAATCTGTTGACCTTGAGCTAACAGTCCAGGCAAACCAACTCACAGTTTGGGCGAACTGGCTTACGGGCAGAACCACCACGGTTCCTTAAAGGTACTCAAAAATACTCCAGACTTACTCCATTTTAAGTGATGTAAATAATGGTTTTGTGTTAGATGTGAATCCTTGTTTATTTTGTTAAAGGACTTTAAAAAGGACTTTTTTGAGACAGGTTTGTCAAATAGGTTTAATGCAAGTGAAATTACGTGAAATGCATATTTTTATCTGCTGGAGAAAAATTTGTAGCAGAAAAATCACAGTTATATGCACAACTTAATAGGCGACATTGCCAAAACAGACTTGAATGAGATTCAAATGCATAATGGTGCAAGTTTGGTGGTGCTCAACCGAAACTATCAAGCCAACTGGGAGTTGATCTTGGTGTGAGTTCGTAAAATACCCATAGCTGGCAAAGATATGCAAGTCAATACACTGCAAACAGCTGCCTTAAGTGTATTTAGTTACAAAGTTTGCACATAAAAATAGCTGCAGTTATGTCTTTCAGGCAAACTCTAAATCCATGGGAATAAGGAAATCAACTCTCTTAGAAAAGGTAATTAAAACCTATAGCTAATGTATTATTCTATACTTTCTTAGAAGAATTTTAAAGGCTGGTTTTCCCCAGCAACAGTGTTGTAGTCAGAGTCGTAATCAGAAGCATAGAATGATACAATCTAGTCAAAATCAAACTGATGGAGTCGGAAGCAGAACACCCTTTGTGATTATGACTCTGTCACTTTTGATCTAGGGAAAACTAATTGTTGGAGTCAGAAGCAGAAGCGGAATAAACCAATCACCATCTTGATTCCGGGCCTTGTGATTGGTTGGTGCTTCTGCTTCTGACTCCGACAATCTTGTTTTCACTGGATCATAGACAATGGAGTGGTAAACAGAATTGGAAGAAATGGAAATGTGCTGATTCTTCTGACTCCAATTTGGACATTCCGTCAAGCTTACGACTCCGATTACTAGTCAAATTTTTGATTTTCACAAGGTTGTAAGCTCTCTTACGACTCTGACTACAACCCTGTCACTAGTGAAAACCAGCCTTTACATACTTATGCAAATGCTGCAATCTCATACACTTAACTCAACTCAGCTTCCTTGAGGCTGATTACAAATTATGTAATTCAGCCACAGGATGGCAGCTGTAGAGAGTTTCAACTGTAATTCATGTGATCAAGCTGTTTAAAAACCATGCACTAGAAACATAGTTTCTGATAATTTCTTTTCAATAAAAATTTTATACCTGTGGAGTGTAAACCCATAAAATAATTTGCAAAAATGGCCTCTATCCACTTCCTTATTGCAACATTAGTACCTACTTGTGAAGCAAACAGGTAATGAGAATAAAACAATGATCAACTAGGGGACTATTCTCTTGATGTAACTGCAAATTCTCAACTGGCTGTTGTGGAGAGGTTATTTTCAATTGGTAGTTTGAGACATGCATTAGTAACTGTTACCATTGTGGAGAGGTGGTGGTTAAAATAAGAGCGAATGTATGGGCTGTCTGCCAGGATGAAAAAAAATGGTCATTATAGGGAGGTGGCTGTTAGTGGATGTTCCACTGTGCAACAATCAATGGGGTGAAGAAACTGGCAAAGATTTAGTTTAATCAACTGATTTTCACTTTTTTCAACACAGCTTTTGGCCCCAGAAATCCGTCATGAAAGAAATGTGATTCTTCAGTGTTTGCGGCACATTGTGAAGAGGAACTTCTTTGATGTTGGAGACACTAAACTGCCTGCAGAAAATATTGTTAAAAATGAAATTTGTGATGACTTTGTAAATAAATCATGAAAAATAAATTACCACAGCAATAACTGTGAGCATGAAGTTACTGTACTATAATATTTAATTTTATAATCCGTCAAACATTTCATTTGTACTTGCTCATGCTTGGCCTAAGTGTGTCTTGTGACTGAATATGCTCCAGCTACACCCGGGGAATATCTGAGTGATATTCCCCAAGTTTCAAAAGATCCTCTGTGTTGCAAAAAATATTTCAAGGATTATAAATACAATAGCCTCCATTTGACTTTTCAGGTATTTGTACTAGGACATCATTTGTTCCTCAAAGCTCACAGTTTTCCTCAAGCTTTGTTCTTGGTGCAAATAATGTCTGCGAACAAAATATCCAAGCATATTTTTACACCACATGGAGGCTATTATTTATCTAGTCATTAACTAAGATAACTATTTTTTAATCTTATACTAACAGTAAGTTTACTCCA